AAAACCCCCTGATCTGGAGGTTAAAACCCCCTGATCTGGAGGTTAAAACCCCCTGATCTGGAGGTTAACTTAACACAAGCTTATTTTTGGTGCCAACTACAGAACTTGTCTGCTCACATGCGCAAGAGTTATCTTCGACAGCAACCTCTCCTTTGAAAAACACGTCATCCAAATCACAAGAACTGCCTTCTTTCACCTTAAAAATATCGCGCGTCTTATCCCATCAATGATGAGATGAAATTTTTATTCATGCCTTCATGACCTCCAGACTCATTTACTGTAACGACATTCTTTATGCTTCATCATTCAAATTCCTCAATAAACTTCAGCTCATGCAAAACTCTGCTGCTCGCCACACCAGCCACCGTGACCACATCACCCCAGTTCTCCAGAAGCTCAATTGGTTTCCTGTCCCTCAGCACATCCATTTTAAAGTCCTCCTCCTTCCCCACAAAGCCCTCCATGTCCAAGCCCCCTGTTACCTCCCCGACCTTCTCCACTGTCACACTTGTTCCTGCAGCCTCCGCTCCTCTGATACCAACTCTTGTCTACCACTTAGAACTAAGCACCGGACCTCTCCATAGCTTCATAGCTGCTCCCACACTCTGGAGCTCTCTGCCCAAACAAATCCGTGACTGTACAGATCTATCCACATTTAAACCACATCTCAAAACACACCTTTTCAGAACAGCTTTTAATGTTTGATTAATCCCCTGTTTTAGGCTTATCCTTTTTTTCTTCTTTTCATTTTTTCAAATGTTAAGTGTTTTCCTTTTATGATTTTGTTGTGTACTTAACTATTGTTGGCGACTTTGCTTGATTCTTGTAGTGTCTGAGTTTGTAGAAAAGTGCTATTCAAATAAAATGTATTATCATTGTTATTTTTTTATTCAAGACAATAACAGACTTTCATCACAGTGCTCGCTGTTCCAACTCCTGACTCACTGCAAGAGCATCTCTCTAAGAGAGACTTGTATACCCAAACACAGGAGCTGTGACAAAAGCATGGTGCTATTTTAACCAAAAATTCAACTGCAGTAACTGCTGTTCAACCCATAGAGGGCAGCAGTGAGACGTTATTTAGACAAAATAAAGCAGAATTAAACTAATTTAAATAAAAATGTCAAAATTAACAAATAAATAAATAAAGATAACAACTTTAAGGCTCAGTTTTTATTTGAAGGAAAAATTTGATTTTGGGAATAGTTACTCTCTAATGTTGCCTCCTGGAGCCGCTTTTTGATTGGTCTGAATGTAGCTTATCATCTGGGGCCATTCTGAAAAATGAAATTCCTCTTCAGCTTTCTGGAAGCTTTAGATCAAAATAACCAGGTATTGTTCAGAACTTCATCTAGCTTCATTAAAACCCCAATTCCACATGAAGAAAAGCAACCCCGCAGCATGATGCTGACACCACCATGCTTCACGGTCCAGATGGTATTTTTTGTCTTCACTGTGTTTCACTGATTATCTGATGCTAGTTCTTCTGACTGTCTGCTCTGAAACGTCTCCTAATTTTCTCTTTTTAACAATCAGAGCATTTTGATGCTTTGTGAGCTCCAAACAAACCTTACATGGACAGAGCCAACTTAATGTTAATTAGTTAATAAACTTTCCCCAGTTGAGTTGTCCAGGAGCTTTATGCCTGAAACAATTAATGTGGTTTCAGCTTTTTATGTCAAAGAAAACTGACATTTTCTGAAGATAATTTAAGCCATTTAAATCTGCATTTTCCACAGTTTGCTGAGCTCTTTTTGTTATGACAGGGTACACTAACTCTGGGATGTTTTCAGACAGTTATTTTACACTTTACAATGTTTAAAACCTTTTTACTTTCGTAACAGAGCTCACACCATCTCCTCCAGAGCTGTGTATTTGTTTAGGCTCAACCAGATTCTTTTGTTTTGTGATTTCCAGACCTAAGCATGTTGGCTGAGTGGTTACAGGCCTTACAGAAAGCCAGCCCTGGGTTCAGTTCTTGGTTTGGACCTGGGATCATTCTGTGTGGATGTTTCCATGTTCTCCCTGTGTTTGTGTGATTTTTTTTTCAGAGTGTTTTCCTTCCACAGTCTAAAAACAAGATGTCAGGCTGCCTTCAGGTCTGCCTTGCATAGCAGCTCTGTGCTCTCAGTGGGATTCATCTGGGTAAATAAAGGTGAATAAATCATTCTAATTGCATGTTTCCCTGATTCTCCATCACTGCAGACAAATGCAGGAGCAGCGTCTTCCTGTTAGTTTAATTAAGTTTGCCCTTTTAAAATTGCTGTTTACTCTCCTTTCTTGTAAAGGTGAGTCTCATTCTGCTTTTTCTCAGGTTCTTGCTGCTTCAAAGCTTTCATTGAAGTTTTTTATGAGCTTGACTTTCTTAACAAGGCAGCAGAACATGTCTGTTATTAGTAGAAGTTTGTCAAAATTCACCTTTAACTTCTTGTTCTTCACTTACTGTGTAGAAAGTGAATCTATACTTTTATAAATGATCTTGGTTCTGAACTTCTGAATGTTTTCCAGGCTCCTTGTGTTTGTTTTTGTTTTGTTGCCCTCTAGTGGGAGCTGCTGATAAAAATACTTACATGAAGTCAGTGTTTGCTGGTGATGGTCTTAAAGTATGAACTTTGTGATTTGTTTTAAAAGCTAAGCATAAAACTTTACTTCACTTCTCATCGGGTGGTTTATTAAATAGAAAAAATAAATTAATGCCAGTGGTAAATAGGTTTGTGTTTGATCCCTAGCTCCTGATGAGCTGAAGATTTTTTTTTAAACTTTTCTGGCTTTTTTTTAACAACAGGATTCAAACAGACCAGTTTTTAAAGTCAAAATTTATTTTTTTAAAACAGCTTTCAGAACTTCATGGACAACTTTCCAAAATTCAGTGGTGAACCATGAAATAAAACCACATGTAAAAAATTATAAGCTGAATAATCCTCAATCTTGTCTAACCCTCATGAATGTATGATGCATTAGTGAAAACTGTCTATGTATGTGCAGCATAGTCAACCTTCAATTTTTATTTTTGATTTAGAGCAGCTACAATTTCAAAGTGGATTTTTGAGTTTTCTGATTGTACTTGAACGCACCAATTTTCAGGCGCCTTAAAAACTGTAGAAACGCAGTAATTATTCTTCAGCACAGCTTGTGTATCCACAGGGATAGAATGAAGCCAAAAGTTAAAAAACTTAAAACATTTAACTTTGTTTACAACTTCACAATGTAAATAAACAACAAAATAATTTGTTTGGGCAGAAACAACAAACACAAAGTGCAGCTTAAAAACATGGAGCACACAGTTCTGTTATGTCCTGCAGGTGAGTCCAGCTGGTCCTTGGAGTCAAACTGACCATCGTTTCTCTCTGTGGGGATAAAAACAACATCTGTATATCAGAAATTCCTTATTTATCAGAATGATCAAAATTTATTAAGAGATGTCTATTTACTTGTTTCTTTCATTTATAAAAACAAAACAATCTATACACACCATTTAAAAAAAGTAAATCCTACCCTAAATTAAAAGAGTGCATAGTGAAGAAAAAACTCTTATATGTTTATTATTTTATCCTAAATACAGCGGGTAAATAAGTATTGAACATGTCACCATTTTTCTCAGTAAATATATTACTAGAGGTGCTAATGACATGAAATTTTCACCAGATGTTGGTAACNCATAAAAACAGCATTTTAATAACAACTAAAGGTGACATAGATACTTTATTATGGTATAGTATTTAAATATATGCCTGAGAAACAAATAATATTGCCCCTTTAAGTAAATCCAACATTTCATGTTTTCCAGTGCACAACAAGACTTCCCCATCAAGCCACCCCATTAATATGTTTCTGTACTTTGCATCAAAATAACCTTCTCTGCCTGACATCTAACAACCAGCCTGGCGGCAAACAGGTCCAGATCTGAGTCCATCAAGAGCAGAAAGTCCAGTACAGAACACCTGAAAACCCCAGAGTCAGGGCTGATAAACATCATCTTCTAATTTCTAACTGAGCAGCAGACATGTTCCAACACATCAAGAAGTGATCAGAATAATAATCCTGACAGAACCTGGATTAATCCTCTCAGGCTGGACTGAGCTGAGAGCTTTAATAATCAGGCAGCAGTCAGAGAGAAAAAAAAAAAACCCCGACGTGACACGGGCACTTCATGGATCGGAACATGCCCGAACCGAACTCAGCACCAACTGTTCAAATGCAGGCTTACCTTGCTCCATCAACAGGATGCCGAGTCCGACCAGCACAGCCCAGTACACAGGATTCTTCATCTTTACTGTCCACCAGCCCGTGGGTCTCTAAACCCTGGAGAAAACCCCGACAAGTGGTTTCCACGCGATCCTGGTCCTCCACAACAAACATCCACAGCAGCGAAGTCCTCCCAGGGTCCAACTACTGTCAGAATGTTAAGAGACGAGCGGGGCCAATGAAGCTGGCAGGGATGACAGGAACTACATCCAGAATGGATTTTCAAAATAAGATCGAATCATCGGTTATGAACAGACGCTTGTACTGACTCTGCGCTTTTATTTTGTCAAATAAAAGAGCTCACATCCTGTTCCTGTGAGATTGGTGGTGACTTTGTGAAGAGGCGCAGATACAGGTTTTACTGTCGTTCAGGTAGAAAACAGAGCATTTAAAAATGATAAATATATAATAAATACAATTACAGAGTAGCACGGATTTTTTTTTTGTATAATCAAACACTTTTGTTTTGGTGGCACGTGGTGCTGTGGTTAGAGCTGTTACTTCACAAGAAAGTCACAGGTTCTGTTTCTGGC